AAAAATTTTTACTATTATTAATGTAACAATGCAACTATTAATCTTTTTTTCTTCCAAGTCTTTAAACACTGTTCAATAGATGGAAATGTACCCCATACTTCCGAATCTAAAAGTTCCACACAAACAAACACAACTAAACCATATTCCTGTCTATTTTAATTCTCAGCTTTTGGAAAAAGAGTTACTCACCATATTAGTTCATCATAAGACAGATTTCCTAAAATCCTAAAACTCCCAGTACAAAAAAAAAAGCAATCCTTGAGACTTTTTCCCTAAGACAATGTCGCTTAGTCACTGTCTGGAAGAGTACAAGCTCATCATCTTTTGCAACCTGTTTCACTCCAAACCAGAAGATCAACATTTGACGATCCAGTCCACATTCCTTCCTCCACTAACCAATCACATGCCTTTGGCCAAACAGGTTAGGTAAGTTGCATAAGGTGCAACTTATGCAAATCATTCAATACAATAAAACCTATGCTGAGTACACTTTATGATCATAAAATCACTACCATAAGTAAAGTCAGTTATACATTAGGCTATATTTAGTATGTATTCGAAGTAGGTGGATCAGGTGAAAATCTACAGAATCTGTCTATTTAGTCTATTTTCAGTCACTTTATAAACACTCTCAACTAAAGACTGAAAGAAGAGCAGTTTATTTGTAAGTTAATTTACAAATCAAAGAGGTATTAACTGCTGTTGAAAAAGTGAATAAATGATGGGCAGACTAATTTCACACTAAAAAAAGACTAAAATCACCGTGATTTAACATGTTCCACTTTCACCCAAGGGTATGAAACTCAGCGATACCTGAACGCTCACATCTAACAGAGAAACAATGATCTCATCCCATCCTGACAGACCTCAACCCCCCCACACACACCCTTTCACAATGGGATACATTGTAGTAGTGTTGTCAAAAGACCCGGTATTTCGGTACCAAATCGGTACTAAAAAAATTAAAACGTTACGGTACCAGGTTTTTTTAAGTACCGGTTCTTGATTCGCTATCCGAAACCTGTCCTCTTCCACTGTTGCCAAGTCCGCGGTTTTCCCGCAGAATTGGGCTGCTTTAACACTGTTGCCGCGGGTTGTTTTTCATGTACGCGGGTTGAAAAACGACCCCACTAACGTGATATTTAGCCCCTGGAATGCGAATTTTACCAGGGGAACCCCGCCAAAACCGAATACTGAAATTTTGGTACCGTGACAACACTACATTGTCGCAATGTAGAAATGTTTGTGCACTTACTCTCTTGACCTGTAAGTGTGCGCAATTTATTTAACATTTTTCTGTTATTAACCATCTGTTAAAGTAATTTTCACAAGGGGGCTTTGTCTAAATAAAGGAGCAGTGGAGCAGACAGAGGTGAGAGGAGTCGAGTTTCAGCCTGGGTTTTCCTCAGCTCTCAGGTGGCAAGATGCTAACTGTATTACAGAGCAGCCTGACTTATCATTCAGCATGCAGCCTCAGCATGAGTAAAACAATTACTAATAAACTAATAATTTTACTAATAAAAATTACAATGCTTAAAAGAAAAGCAACAAACTTGGATTTCAAGGATAGCTCACTGTTCAGACAGTTCCCTATAGGGAAGCATTAGAGCTGGGTGATATAGCTAATATATACATGCACTGAAGGAAATTCCCAACTTTCTAATAACTAAGTATGTTTCTAATTCTACTAAAAACCACTTGCTTTGTCAAAAGTAGCATAAAAGACAAAACATTCAAGTATTTTGATTAAAACAATTCCTCGACAAAATTATCTTAATAAATAAGAGAGTGTATCACACATATACATAGAAATATTACATTTGCACCTCTGTTGGAACCAAACAGTCATGTTACCCAAGTAGATTCATCATAATGTACACTATCATTCAAAAGTTTGGTGTCAGTAATATAGTTTTTAAAGAAGTCTCCTATGCTCACCAAGGCTGCATTTATTTGTTAAAAAATACAGTAAGAACGGTAATATTGCTAAATATTATTACAATTTAAAATAACTTTTCTATTTGAATATAATTTAAAATGTAATTTATTCCTGTGATGCAATGATGAATTTTCAGCATTATTACTCCTGTGACAGGCTTCAATGTCACATGAGCCTTCAGAAATCATTCTAATATGCTGAGATTGATGTTTAAGAAACATTTCTTACTTAAAGGGGTCATATGCTTTTTTAAAGATCATTATTTTGTGTATTTGGTGAAACAGAATATGTTGACATGCTTTAATGTTCAAAAAACACATTATTTTTCAAATACTGTACATTATTGTAGGTCCTCTATGCCCCGCCTCTCTCAAACGCTTCGTTTTCTACAAAGTCCCTCCTTCCGACAAGCGCAGTCTGCTCTGATTGGCCAGCTGACCCAGTGCATTGTGATTGGCCGAACACCACAAGCACTTGTCGGAAATGTAACGCCCCTTACCATAATCGTGAGCTTCATCTTTCAAAATAAATGTAAAGACAGTAAATAATGTCATTAGTATTATCATCAGTTCAAGCCCGAAAGGGGAACAGTCGCGTGACAGACACAGTGATGAAGCTGGTATGTGTTTGCAGTACACAAGCCACGGTTAAGACAGCTGACTCCACTGTGATCTCTCTCTCACTCTCTGTCACACACACACACGCACGCACGCGCGCGCGTCCATAAAATGCATTGCTGTTCTGTTGTAAGTAATCTTAAAGATTCCTAAATGCATCTACTTCCGGAAGGCCAAATAAAGTGCTTTTGCTTTCGCCTAGAAACACACAGCATCTCCCTGACATGGCTGCTTCAACACTAACTGCGGTTACTGAAACCACGCCTTCTTTCTTTGCGTGAACATTTGGGCGCATTATGCAAATATTTCCACATAGTGAGGTAGATATGTGGGGGCGTGTTAGAACGAGCCGTTTTAGGGGGGCTTAAGTCTTGGTTTTGAGACTTTAGTCTTTGCAACTTCAGGGATCTTATCTATGCACAATCAGCTTGTAACACTCCAAAGAGAAAGGAAAACTTGAAATCGCATCACATGACCCCTTTAAACAGTTGCTCAGTATTTTTTTTTTCTTTTGAGGATTCTTTGATAAATAGAAAGTTTAAAAGAACAGCATTCATTTCAAATAAAAATCTTTTGTAATATTATAAATGTCTTTACTGTCATTTTTGAACAATTTAATGTATCCTTGCTGATTAATAGTATTAATTTCTTTATATAAATCTTAATGACCCCAAAGTTTTGAACAGAAGTGCAAGATTGATGTATAATACAAATAAAGCATAATGCAAAACAGTATACAAATAGTGCAATTGTTGTTAAACATAATTAAGGTTTTTTTCCATTTTCTAATTGAATACAAAGTCAAAATATGTACAATTTTTAGGCACCAATATAATAATGTACAGTAATAAACAGAAATATTTATCTACTTTCTATATATTTTTTACTAAAACATTTTAATGAAATCAAACTTACCAGCTCTAATGCCTTTTTTTTGCTTCTGAACTTGCTATTAAAACAACTGAATCAACAGACGCAGACATACTGCAGGTTAAATAGCCAAGGCTATTCTTAAATGTCAAGTAATGTTCATTTTTCGCCTCCTGTAGCGAATCGATGCGTTTTTGTAAGAAAAATATCCATATTCAAAACGTAATAATCACTTTAATGTAGCTTGCGCCAACAGTTGTGCACAGAATCAGCTCTGGGCGGATGACGTATGAGTTCAGCGTTGCGCATTTTTCTAACAAAAATGCATCGATTCGCTACAGGGGGACTTTGTTCACCCCCCCCC